CCTGGGATCATGACCTGAGCCGAAGGCAGACGCTTAATGACTGAGCCACCCAGGCGCCCCGAATTATTATTTTTTAAAAGCTCCATAATGGAAATTTATTTGGCAAAGCAAAGATAGGATAATATTATTTATAATAAATATATTTATAGATATATAGATAGATTTCTGTGGTAAAGGAAAAGCAATTCCCACTGCCATTTGGTTATTGAAATGGACTAAAGAAAAGGAGAAAAGAGGTGGTTGAGCATGTTATATGGAAGAATTAGAAAAAGTAGAATGTTGTTTATTTTTCCAGGTTCATGGAGATATAACCAACATAACATTGTGTAAGTATATAAGGTATACAACATAGTGCTTTTATATGTGTATATATTACAAAATGATTACCACAATAAGGTTAGTTAACCATTTTATATAGCTAAAATTTTTCGTGTGTGTGGTGAGAACTTTTAAAATCTACTCTTAGCAATTTTCAGACATACAATATTGTCAACTATAGTCACCATACTGTACATTACATCCCCACAACTTACTTATCTTATAACTAGAAGTTTGTAGCTTTTGACCACCTTCACCCCCACCCCCACCTCCATACCCAGCAACCATCAATCTGCTGTTTCTATGAGTTTGTTTTCGTAAGATTTCACCTATTAAAAAAAAAAAAACCCACCCAAAGTGAGATCATACACTATTTCTCTGTCTTATTTCACTTAGCATAATGGCCTCAGGATCCATCATTACAAATGGCACAATTTCCTTTTTTTGACTAAATGATACTCTACTGTATATACCCATACCCACACACCACAACACATTTTCTTTATCCATTGATGGACATTTCGGTTGTTTCCATGTCTTGGCTATTGTAAATAGTGCTGCATTGAACATGAAGCTGGAGATATCTCTTTGAGACCGTGTGACTTCATTTCCTTCAGATAAATACCCAGAAATAGAATTATTGAGTTATAGAATAGTTGTTTTTTTTTAAGATTTTATTTATTTATTTGAGAGAATGAGAGCACGAAATAGGGGAGGGTCAGAGGGAGAAGGAGACTCCCTCCTGAGCGGGGGACCCCCCCCCCCAGCCCCAATGCCTACATTCCTGGATCATGATCTGAGCCTCCTGGATCATGATCTGAGCCGAAGGCAGTCACTTAACCAACTGAGCCACCCAGGCGCCCTATAGAATAGTTATTATTCACATGCAAAAGAATGAAACTCGATCCCTGTCTTCTATCACTCATGAAAATTAACTCCAAATAGATTAAGGACTTAAATGTAAGACCTGAAACCATAAAACTCCTAGAAGAAAACATAGGGAAAAAGCTCCTTGACATTGATCTTGGCAATGCTTTTATGGATATGATACTGAAAGCACAAGCAACAAAAGCACATCAAACTACAAAGCTTCTGCACAGCAACCCCCCCACCCAAAACAATAACAAGAAATCTGCAAGATGAAAAGGCAACCTCCAGAAAGTAAGAAAATATTTGCAAACCACATATCTGATAAGGGGCTAATAACCAAAATATATAAGGAATGCCTACAACTCGATAGTAAATAGAGATAGATGATAGATAGGTAGATAGATAGATAGATAGATAGATAGATAGATAGATAGATAGATAGATAGATAGATAGACAGACTATTTAAAAAGTGGGCAGAGGATCTGAATAGACATTTTTCCAAAGAAGATGTTCACATGGCTAACAGGTATATAAAAAGGTGCTCAACATGGGGCACCTGGGTGGCTCAGTCGGTTGAGCGGCCAATTCTTGGTTTCGGCTCAGGTCATGATCTCAGGGTTGTGAGATAGAGTCCCGCATTGGGCTCCATGCTCAGTGGGGAGTCAGCTTGAGATTCTCTCTCTCCTTCTCCCTCTGGCCCTCCTCTCTCTCTGTGTCTCTCTCCCTCTCTCAAATACATAAATAGATGAATAAATCTTTTTAAAAAAAGGTGCTCAACACCACTAATCCTCAGGGAAATGCAAATCAAAACCACAATGAGTTATCACTTCACACCTGTTAGGGTGGCTGTTATCAAAAAGATGAGAGAGGGACGCCTGGGTGGCTTGGTCGGTTAAGCGTGCAACTCTTGGTTTCAGCTCAGGTCATGATCTCATGGGTCGTGAGATTGAGCCCGGCATCTCAGTGTCAGTCAGTCTCCCCGCTCAGCGGGGAGTCAGCTTGGAGATTCTCTCCCTCTGCCCCGCCCCCAAAATAAATAAATAAATCTGAAAAAAAAACCAAAAACGAGAGAGAAGTGCTGGTAAGGATGAGGAGGAAAGGGAGCCCTCTTGGTGGGAATGTCAATGGGTGCAGCCAGTATGGAAAACTGTGGAGCTCCTTAACCGAGTTATGTTCCAATGAATGCTCCTAGCTGCCACCCAAGCTGTGGGAGTAGTCCAGACTCCATCTTCCCTGCCAAGCACAAACCCCTTCCTTCCTCTGAGGGTGACCACTACCCTGATGTTCCCATGGTCACTTGAGTATTTCTGGATACTCTACTCTGTTTCATAAGCCTGGTTGCCTAGACCTGAGACCATATGGAAATGTGGTTAACAATAAAGATGGTGTCTCGAATCACTTAGGAAAAGAGGGAGGTTTAAATAAATTTTATTGGGACAACTAGATAACCATTTGGAAAAAGATAAAATTGCATCCATACCTTAAACCATTCACCAAAATGCCAAGTGAATCAGAACTAAATGTAAAAAATAAAACCCAGAAGTGGTAGCTCTTTGATATATTCAAACAGATTATATATATAAATATATATATATCTCAGCTTTGTAGCTGGTTTTTGGATTGGGATTTTTTTTCATGCTCTATATAGTACCCTGTATTGCTAAAAATGGGAGCTTTTTCATCCTGTTTGTATGATCCAAACATTTTGTTAAATTCCTTTTCTACTGATTAATTGCCCCTATTTGTCCATGGGAGTTGATCCCTTTTTCACTTCTTCCTTGTAGGTTACAGGGGTTGTGGGAAGGAAAGTTCAGTATGTGTGATGTTTACTCATGTACTTAGTAGACACCTTTTCCTTCCTTGGTTTCCCTCTGTCTCCACAGAGTAGGTTTATTGTGGTTGCTTATTGAACAACTCTCTGGCTTTTTAAATAATTGGGAATTGAAGATTGTTTTCTCTTCTGAAATAGTGGATCAAGAAACTGCTTGGGAACTTTGTGTACATGGATGGGGTTTACCTGCTATTCGGGTTGGCATTAGGGTGGCTGGACAGGGAACCAGCCATTCCATGGCATGGAGGGGTAAGGATGAGCTAGGTTATGTTACAGTAACAAACACCCTGAAACTCCTAGTGGCTCAAAACAGCAATGTTTATTTCTCACTCAAGCCACATTTCCACCCCAGGGCTCTCTGCTTATCATGGTCACTCAAGGACCCAGACTGGTAGTGGTACCATCTGTGATGGATCTGGGGTCTCATGGGCAGGGAAAACAATCTGGTGAACCACATACTGGCTCTTAAGGCTTCTCTTTCAAGAAGTTCACATGTCCTTGATGCCAAAGAAGTCCCATGGCCGTGCCTGAGTTTAGCAGAGATGTGTAACCCTCTTCTGGGTGAAGCACCATATTTGGATGAGCAGTAGTACAGTCTATGACATAGAGGGCTCATTGGAGAGAAGTGCTTGGATTTACCGCCTGCGCAGGGGTGGATGGATGCTGGGGAAGGGAAGGAAGGGGTTAAAGGTTTTTCCCATCTCAGGAACAGCTGCAGGCTGCCATTCAGCAGGCGAGGAGCTGCTTCCTGTGACATGTTTGGCCAGGTTAGGAAACATCTTTCCTTGCCAGGTGAGGGAAAAGATCAGATCCTAAGCCTGTATTTTTAAAAATTAAAATATTCTTTTCTTAGTGTGATTTTAGAATCAGTGCCCCTTCTCACTACCCTTCCAGAAAAATCACAGCTTCTGCAGCAAGTCTATGCCTGGATGACAACTAACCCACAAAATTGCAAGAAGATGCCCCCTCCCCTCCCCTCTTGGCTGAACCATGGGTATCAGGACCAGCCTGTTCCTCTAAGAATATAGAATTAACACCTTTCATCTAACAACTGTTTCTGTTCTGGAGAATAATACAGGCTCTTTCTGGCAGTTTGGCTTCTCTCCAGGGAGAAGGCTTGGTGAGGTAGAGCGAACATATGGTGTCGACATTCAGAGGGATCTGGGTTTAATCCTCTTTGCTATACTCTGCTAACTTTGTCTTTTTTTTTTTACATTAAAAATATATTCATTACAAAAATAATTTAAACAATTCATAAGTATATAAAGTACAACATGGAAGGTCTTCCTGCAATATCTCATTTGTATTTATAACTTGTCATAAAATGGGTAAAGGGAATCATAGAAGGAAACCTGCCCCCTTTGGACCACTTTTCTTGTCTCCCAGGCTTTGTCTCCACAGCTCTTCCTGTGAAACCTGTTTCCATGAACCACCACACTGAAGACCATTCAAGGGAAGTTCTCAGCTTTCTTTGCTATGAAGGATGACTAAACTTTAAGACTTGAGCATACTTAAAAAACTTTTTAAATATCAAAGTCACCTTAACCAAGTGATCAAAATTAACATCACCAGTGTATACTTATGTAAATACATGATTGAATAAACTAATAAATGGGAAAGAGACAAATCTCCCACATAGAAAAATTCCAAATAATTTATGTAACTACTCTGCCCTCAAGGAGTGGGGAGCATGGCTCCCCACACCTTAGATGTGTGTAGTGACTTCCTTTCAAAGAGGAAGGTATGGAAAGGGAGAAAGTAATATTACAGTGGAAAAACCTGACAAACACTACCTCTTGCCAGATCATGACTGATGTCATGTTGATTATATGTGCCTTTGGTATGATGTGATGAAAATGAAAATTTACCTCTGTGGTCTTTATTTTTATTTATTTATTTGAAAGAGAAGGGAGGCAGAGAGAGAGAGGGAGAGATATCCTCAGACTCCCCGCAGAGCCTGGAGCCTGACGGGATATGGTGCTAGATGAAGGGCTCCATCCCAGGACACTGAGATAATGACCTGAGTCAAAACCAAGAGCTGGATGCCCAAATGACAGAGTCACCCAGGTGCCCCAATTTATTTTTTAAGGATTTTATTTTTAAGTAATCCCTACATCCAACATGGGGCTCGAACTCAGGCACCCCTGTGGTCTTCCTTTAGACTTCCATGTTAGACTTTAAAGCAAGAAATAGGTGGTTGTTGTTGTTTTTAAGTAAGCTCCACTCTGAGCGTGGAGCCCAACTCAGGGCTCGAACTCACAACTGTGAGATCAAGATCTGAGCTGAGATCAAAAGTTGGATGCTCAACTGACTGAGCCACCCAGGTGCCCTAAGAAATATTCATTATATGAATCTACTGAAGTTTGGATTGTTTTTATTCTTGTCTTTAAAATGAGAATATAATTAGGATTTATTTAAGGTTTTATATTTAAGTAATCTCTACACCCAACATGGGGCTTGAACTCATGATCCTGAGACCAAGAGTCATGTAGTCCACTAACTGAGCCAGCCAGGCACCCTTAAGAGTATAATTAGGATTTTATTTTATTTTTTAAAAGATTTTATTTATTTCAGAGAGAGAGAGCAAACAAGAGAGCACGAAGTGGGGAGCAGCAGAGAGAGAAGCAGACTCCCCACTGAGCACAGAGCCCGACGCAGGGCTCGATCCCAGGACCCCAGGATCATGACCTGAGCCAAAGGCAGACACTTAACCAACTGAACCACCCAGGTGCCCCTAATTAGGATTTTATTTATTTATTTTTTTTAAAGATTTTATTTATTTATTTAACAGAGAGAGACCCACAGCGAGAGAGGGAACACAAGCAGGGGGAGTGGGAGAGGGAGAAGCAGGC